TTTTTACCAAAAAATAAAAGTCCTTTTCCATCTATTTATTTTAACATATGCATTGAGGTAATTTAGATATTTCTGTAAATTAAATTATGATAATTAATTCCTTATCACAAATTAATGAATACTATTTTTTTCAACAATAATTACTATTTCAAAACCTAATGTCGTAGTAAATTTTAACGAATTTAACAACCAAACTTCTAAGAAAATACTTATGATTTAAATTTTAAAAATTAAAAAAATCATATGAAAAAAAATAAAGGCAAAATTAGTCGTTATAATTAAATAAGGACAAAGAAAAAAAGATCACACAATAATGTGAAGTTTCCTCGTTGGAAACCAACAAAAAATTTTCCTCCTTCTTCTTTTGTATTCTCTTATGTATTAATATATTGTATCCTTATTAGGAGAGGATATCAAACACTAAATTATATTAGACTATTTTTTTTTTATTTAGAACTCCCAATATAAGAAAAGTTTTTTGATTTTATAATTTTATCCAATGTAAAATACATTTTTGAAGGGTAAAAAAGGCGAACGATATTTCAGTAAAGGCTTTCGTGCTTTTAATATAACTAGTCTTAGGATACGCGCGTTGCGCGTGTACCCTATCTCAGTAAATATATATTTTCTTAAAATATTACATACATATTATATTATAAATAGTGTTTCACAAAAATTTTAAACTTGAAAAAGTAGATAAAAATCAAAAGCTTATACATAGGAAAGAAATATTTTTCCCTATTTACGCATTAATTTTAATTTTCAAAATTTTCATTCATTTGAGTGTGACTCGGCCACTAAATATCAAACAACATAAAAAAAACAAAAAATATAAGCAAGCAAAAATAGAAGAGACAAAAGTATTTAAGAAAAGTTAAGTCACATTAAAAAGTTATATCTCTTGTTAACAAATAGAAAGACGTAATCTTATTAAGAGCACCAAAGGATCAAAGAAAATAAGTTTTTGATAACCGTAGGAATACTAAACAAATACTATTGAGTTTATTAAGTATACTACTTGTAGATATGATACCTTGATACTTGGGGAGAGATCAATGTAGCTTGCACTTTGCAAAATTCCTGAGGTATGACCATAATACTTTATATCGTGGTATGCGGTAAATTCGAGTATGAAATTATAAAAGGAAGATAAAACTTACAAATATTAAAATAAGAGAATAAATTACTGAAATCAAAACGGGTTCACTCATCGGGATAAAACCTCTAAAGTCGACGTGCTTCTTTGAATATTTCCGATTACCAAGTACTTAGCCAAACATACTTCAAACTGTAATGTCCACAATTGAAGGAGATGCTTGCAAAAGAAGCATAAAGAAGCTTTATAAGTTCTTGTAAAAGTTAATAGAGTAGAAAAATACACAAGCAAAAATTTTGGAATCCTCATTTTAGAAATTTATTCATTATGCGATTCTCTTTGGAAAAATAATACTTTATATAGTTGCTTTACACAATTTAAATAAGGAAGCAAAATATAATAAAATCTCACTTCATTTAAATCCCTAAATATTAGGAGTTCTTGCAAGATTCAAATAAGTAAAAAGTAAATAACCAAACTTTTAGCTGATTTTGAAGTTCTAAATATTTAAAAATTTACAAAAGAAAAATAAAATTGCTTTGAAAAATAAAATTACATTTGTCAAAGAAATAAAATTATAACTAAATTACTTTAAACTGCGTAAACAAAGTCCCTAAGCTAAATATTTAATAGTATTGTTCTATAATATATGAATGGTTATTAACTTTGTTTGATGATCTTGGAGGTAATTATAAATGCATAATGCACTTCAAAGCATCTAAGATTTGCATTTTTAAGTTTCTTTATCATATTTATATTTTTACGCTAACTACTCTTCAAATATACACAACAGTAAGAGTCTTAGGGGAAGAAAATATTTTTATGTGGTAAAACCCTTAATTTACATAAAAATTGATTCACAAATTTATAGTGACAATCATATCTCAAATTAATATTGTACGTCCATACACACAAGGAAAGGAGTTCAAATATAATTGAAGAAAAATAATTCTAGT